CGATCCCCTTGAAGAAAACTACCACGGATGCACACGCGCCACGTCGCGCTCGCATGCTGGAATATATCAACAAAAGCACAAAAATCCGCAATAATGTCAAGATCGAGGCTCTCGAAATCATATGGGAAGAACACAAAGTTTTGCAACGTGACGTTTCAAAAGAGATTTGCGCGCGCTCCTGCGAACCCCGGTAACAAAACCATCGAATTCTCAACTGTTCCATCAGATTCGACCAAGCGGGCATCTCGCGCGCGCATGCCGAAACCATTCGAACGCCCACGCGCGCGGCGTGCTGAGGGGTGCACGATCCTCCTCAAATAACGCCATGCACGCCACTCGCGCCCGTCGGCCGCGCGCGCATGTCGAAACCCCCCCACCATTACCGACACGTGGACACCATCATCGCCATCGGCGTGATCAGCATCGGCCCCATCATAGACATAGCCGTCGCCATTGTCATCATCATCATCACCAGCACCGCTACCATCACCATCGCGCCTGTCGTTGTCGACGACGCCATGATACTGCGCCCGCCCGAGTCACCGACTCGCACTAAAGCTGCCCCTGCTCTTGTCGGCGTCGCGCTTGACGAACCTGTCTGCCATAGCGCCCGCAACGTAGCTGACGACCTGCAGCTGGTAGAGTTTCACGTATTCGGCAGCCTGCGCGACCCCGAAGAGGACGCGGTTAGCCTGAGCTCCGTATGGGGCCACGAAACGTACGAAAGTGTTCCGACATCTGCGGCCGGGGCGCATGCGGGCTGCTCCGCTGGGGCACTGGGTGGAGCCCCCATTTGAGGCAATGAAACGCATGAAGGGCGCGCCGGCACGCGTGGCTAAGACCACTCGGGCTGCGCCACACGGGCCTTCGGTGGAGTTCTTTTGGGACCACGAAATGTGTGACGGGCGTGCCGACATGAGTGGCTGGAACGCATGCGGGCTGCGGAGAAGTCTTCGGTGGAGCTCCCTATGGAGCCACGAAGCGTGTGAGGGGTGTGCCGACATGGGTGGCTGGGACGTATGCGGGCTGCGCCACTGGGACCTTCGGTGGAGTTCCCCATGGGGCCACGGAACGTGTGAGGGGTGTGCCGACATGGGTGGCTGGGACGCATGCGGGCTGCGCCAATGGGGCCTGTCCGCGAAACGTGTGAGGGTTGTGCCAGATGAGTGGCTGGAACGCATGCGGGGCTGCGCCACTGGGGCCTTCGGTGGCGCTCCATTTCGGGGCCACAGAACGTGTGAGGGGTGTGCCGACATGGGTGGCTGGGACGTATGCGGGCTGCGCCACTGGGACCTTCGGTGGAGTTCCCCATGGGGCCACGGAACGTGTGAGGGGTGTGCCGACTTGGGCGGCTGGGACGCATGCGGGCTGCGCCACTGGGGCCTGTCCGAGAAACGTGTGAGGGGTGTGCCAGATGAGTGGCTGGAACGCACGCGGGCTGCGCCACTGGGGCCTTCGGTGGAGCTCCCCATGGGGCCACGGAACGTGTGCACACGGGTGAACGCGACGCATGCGGGCTGCGCCCCAGGGGTCTTCCGTGAAGGGGTGTGCTGACATGGGTGGCTGGGACGCATGCTGGCTGCGCCAGTGGGGATTTCGGCGGAGCTCCCCATGGGGACCCGAAACTTTCGAGGGGTGTGCCAGCGATCATGATGACGATGATGGTGATGATGATGACGCAACGTCCATGATTATGATGCGATGCCGATGCTGATGTTGATGCTGATGATGATGATGTTGGGAAGAGGAGGGGGAAGACGAAAGCGGGAGGAACGCGGAGCACTGTCTCTTCAAAACGAGGACCCAAAACCATAGGATGATTGGGGGAATAGTTTGCGTTATCGCTGCTTCGAATGCTTAAGAAAACCATCGGTGTTCCCACATGTTCTTCGATTAATACCGATCAAGCCTCTCGCGCGCCCAAGCCCGAATCATTCGAACGCCCTTGTGCGCGCGTTGTCGCAAGAACCCTGTCAAAAATGGGCGACATGCACGCGCGCGCGTCGTCGCGCGCGCCTGCCGAAATCCGTCAGATACATGTTTGGGCTCGCGCAAAGATTCTAAGCTTGAGTGCCCCGAAAACAATTATCCAGGCGAAGGGCCCAACCACATGCAATTGTGAGTATCACCGTTGTGGGCATCGCTGTCGGTGGATTTTCTCGCGGGGGCTCGAAACGTGTAAAGTGTGTGCAGAAATGGGGCGGGGACGCATGCGGGCGCAGCCATTGGAGCCTTCTGTGGCGCTCCATATCGAGGCCAAGAAACGTGTGAGAGGTGTGCCGAAATGGAACGGTTCGACATGCGAACGTCGCCACTGGGGCAGCCTTCGGTGGAGCTCCCTATGGGACCACGAAACGCGCGAGGGATATGCCGACATTGGCGGGGGGACGCATGCGATCGTCGCTTTGGGGGCCTTCGGTGGAGCTTCGTATGGGGCCACGAAAAGAGTGAGAGGTGTGCCGAAATGGGCGGGAAGAGACGTACGTGATCAGAGCCACTGCGTCCCCCAGAAAATGAAACATAGTCCACACGCGCGCCGCGCGCGCATGCCGAAATCGGGAAACAATTAAAAAATGGTAAGGTCTTCAAAAAAGAGCGCCCTGGAAACACATAAAAATGGTGTTGCGACCTGTTTGTCATAAGAGTCGGCGCGCGCTCTTGCGATTTCTCATGAAAACGATCCATGTTCCACCGTGCCCATCCAAAGGCAACAAAACAGAACTTGCGCGCGTGCTAAGGAGGGCACGATCCCTGGGAAAAAAATACCATGCGAGCCATTCGCGCCCGTCGGCGCACGCGAGCATGTCGATGTCCCACCACAACCTTCACCTCCGACACGTGGACACCATCATCACCATCGACGTGATCAGCATCGGCGCCTGCAGTGGCCTTGCCGTCGTCATCGTCACCACCCCCGTCAGCATTGCTACTATCATCATCGCGTATACCGTTGTCGACGTCGCCAAGATAACGCGCCCACCCAAAACACTGACTCGCACGGAAGTGCCCGCGCGTCGGCAAGACCTGCGAAACGCGCTAGGGCGCCCCCAGCGGTCAGCGCCACCGCAGCCGCGTCGGTCGCGCCAGACTAACTGGCCGCTCTCCGCGCGACCCTGCGCGCGCAAGTGCGGCCGCAGCGGCGCGCCGGACAGCGCCAAGCACTCATCGCAGTCGCTGCCGCATGGGTCGTGCATACCAAGTCGCGGGCGGGTGGGTGGGATGACTGCGCGCCAATGGACCATGACTCCATTGACTTTGGATGAGTTTGAGCCCTCTGTGCGCGAAGTTATCCCGGCCGTTTGGGCTAGGTTGCGGCGTCGCGTGGCCGCCCACTACGAAGGGACGGGGGCCGAGGGGGGCCTCGATGCCTACTCTCCTCCGTTTGCTTTGGATCGCACGGCCTCGCAGCAGGCCCCCAGGCCCCGAGGCCCCCTGATTGCGGTGGCCATGGCCACGACTTGGTCGACTTTCTCGAGGTTGGGATGATTTGAAAGTCAAGATCGTTTTGCTAGCGCCACCCTGCCAATGCGATCGAGACTGACTTCCACAGCGTCTGGGGCTACGCCGCCACTTGCATGCTCCAGGAGTGCAGTGACACAGCTGCTCTCGAGGCCCGTGCAGGGGAGGAGTGTCAAGCATGCCCGGTGCTCTGGCTGCGTGGGCCCACACCTTCGGCGTGGACCGAAATCACCCCACCGTCCGATGACCACCTCGAATGGGAACGCCCATACGTTGCGGAGAGCAGCGAACCGTCTAACGGGGAGGAATGGAGGGGGGCGGGTGATGGGTCGGGGGGGGGAGCAGTCTCAGGACCCGCGTCTCCGCCGCTGTTATTGGAGCTGTTGCACGCTTGCCGAAGCGTGCGCGAATCCTGTCTGGGACCAGGTCCAAGGAGTCAAACGGCTGGCTGGAGGCCTGCCAGGGCCGATGCCGACGATCAATCGGGTGGACTTGTTGTCGTTAGCTCGGTGGGTGGAAGCCTGCGCCAGTCCTGGTAAATCCCTGAACTTCATTGTACAGACTCGAGCCATGTTGTGAGAGGGGGTAGTAGACCCCAATCCGAGCGCCGTCGGACCAATCGGGACCTATGGCGGCGCCTACGGGAAGCCCTCGGAGAGGCGCAGCTGACCCTCCACAATGTTGAGTTCCACGCGTCCGAGGAGAGAGCGAAGTTTCTAGGCAGGCCCGACCTCTGGAGAGAGGCAACCGACGTGGCCGCTCGCCAGGCCGAGGCTGCCGCATGAAGTTCCAATTAGATGACGCAGAGGTGGATAAGATACGCGAGGTGCAGCGCCTGCCGAGTAGGGTTCGAAAGAGGCAGGTGGCGGTGCTCGGGGAGTTGCGCGCTGTGATCCTCGAGGCCCAGGCAGAGTTGAGCATGCTCCGGCCTGGCCAAAATTTGCCCGCGCCAAAGCTTACAACCCGGTGATAGCAAGGACAGCACACCATGTTGTGCGGCCGAGGGGTCGGGGGGGAACCGAGGGCTCCCGCTTCTCGTGCCACCGCTGCTGCGAGAGCCGCGGAGGCTCCCGGCCGGAGGTGGCCGAGTGGCTGCCTTGCCCATGTGTGTCAGCGCAGGTCGAGGTCTCGGCGAACTCGTTCCCAGCTCCGCTTGGCACGAGGGTGACGGACAGGGTGATCCACCACAGCCATGACGCCCGCGCCCACTGCCAAGTTCCTGCGTTCTTGTCTGGTCGACTTGCGGCTTATGCTCGGCCAGCGAGAACGGAGTTTGCCCCGGGTTGGCAGAGGGATGCGCTCCCGTTGGAGGCCGGCGTCGGCAACCTGCAGCTGCTCGAGAGGGGAGTGTGGCTAGGACACTCTACGGCAGCGAAGGATTTGACAAGAGGGCCCCCCCCAGCCGTCCAGCGGCCACACGAAGGCCCCACAGACCCTTCCCAGGACACTGTCCACCCACGGGGGAAGAAAATCCCCCTCAGCCCTCTTCCCCCTCCTCCTCGAACCCGCGGGCGACGACACGGCGGCCCCGCCGGGCGGACCCGGAGCGCTCGCAGATACCGCAGCCTCGCGCGCGCCGCGGCGTGGCCGCCGCCGTTGCGTTGTCATCGTCGTCGTCTCAGCCGCACCCGCCGCCGTCGTCGTCGTCGTTGTCGTCGCCCTCGTCCTCGTCCTCGTCGTCGTCGTCGTCGGCGTCGTCCTCCTCCTCCTCCTCGTCCGAACCCTCGTCCTCGCCCTCGTCGTCGGCATCGTCGCCGTCGTCCTCGTCCACGCCGTCCTACGTCGCCGCCATCGTTTCGACTTCACTTCCGTAGAACCAGGGGCCCCTCGACGTCGTCGGTGTCGTGTTCCTCCCCGCCTCCAACTCCTCCTCCTCCTCGTCGTCGGTGTCCTCTTCCCGACCTTCCTCCTCCTCCTCCTCATCATGGTCGTGGCCGCTGTGGTCGTGATCGTCGGCGTCTTTGTGGCCATGATCGTGAGAGAGAGAGAGACGGAAAAAAGGGAGAGAAAGAGAGAGAGGAAGAACGAGAAATAATGACAACGAATTAAAAACTGCGAAGAAAAGGATGACAACAACCCACATTGAACGAACGAACGAACAACAGCATGCTCCATCAGTCTGGAGGCCGTCCCAGGACGGTTAGCAGTGTGGCGCTTCACACAGCCCCCCACGCCGCCAGACGAGGGTATTTTGGCCCCGCTTGAGAGCAGCATGTGCCCACGATTCACTGTCAGCACACACATATTTCTTTCGTCGCAGCGCGGCAGAGGCAGTCCGCACGCGCGCTCAGCACGCTGGGTGGCGACATTGCGAACTGCCCGCATGCAAGAGGAAACGGAGAGTGAAGAGGGGCGGCCGCGCGAGGAAGAAAGGGCACTAGCGCGCTCGTGCAGCGGGGACCACGGCGAGGCGCCCGGGGCGGCCAAGCTGGTGCTGCACCCCTAGCGGCGAGCACGGGCCGGCGTCGCGACTACACCCAGAGGCCAGGGCAGCAGCTGCAGCGCGGGGGGGCCGTGGACCCACAAGCCAGGAGGAAAAGCGAAGGCCAGAGGCAGCAGAGCTCACGGAAGTCCCGAGAGGCAAAATGCGGGGAGACCAGATTGAGCAACTGCTGGGCAGGCTGCGCTGGAGCAGGCTGCAGTGCCGGGCTGGAAGGGCGCTTGGACGGCCCATCGGGGGGGGGGGCGGCACTGCCAGTGGCGGAGGCAAAAGCGCGTCCGCGGCGCGAGCCGGGGCTGCGGAAGCGAGGGAGGGCAGCGGCAACCCGAAACCGGCCACGGAGGCGGGGGCAGGGCGACCGCGAGACCTGGGCGGCAGCACACACGGCAGCGGCAGCGCGGGGGGCACGCGCAGAGCCGCGGGCGAGCAGGGGAACAAGGGGGGGGGGAGGGGGCAGCAGTGCCGAGCCCAGGCTGGCGCACGCATCACAGCCAGGGGCAGGCGGCGCCCGGCCCAACTGGGGGCAAGGGGAAGGCTCCCGGCAACGAAGCTGCCAGGAGGCAGAAAACGGAAGGCGGCGCCATGGCGCAGGCCCCCGAGACAGGGCTCCCCACGGCAGCGGCGGCGGGGAGGCAAAAGGGCGCCAGGGCCCAAAGTGGACAAGGCTGGGCACCTCCCTGCGCGCACCACAGGCGGACGGCGAAGGGCCATAACTGACGGGAGGCGCCAAGGGCTGGGGCGAGTGGCGCAGGCGACCCTCGCGGGACACCCCGCCGCCAGAGGTCCAACCTCCCAGGGGCGGCGGGAGGAGGCGAGACCCCGGACCAGGTACGGCGGTGCGATCAGAGCAGCGCAGGGGGGGCAGGGGCGCACCACCTGAGCGACGATCAAGAACGGGTCTTACGCGAGATGGCATAGCGACCTTACGCGGTGGCTTACGCGGGCCGCCAGCGCGGCACGCTACGCTGGAAGCGATGGCGCTTACGCGCGACCTTACGCGAGCAGCTTACGCGCCGCTGTCGGCAAAGACGACCCCGCTTTCTTCCGCCGCTCACCTGGGATGGATGGCGCGTCCCAGGGGAGGGCGGCCGGGCGCACCACCTGAGGTGGAGGCGCGCCCGTGAAGAAAAGGGGCACCCGACTGGCGCGCGACCCAGGGGGGGGTGACCAGGCGCACCACCTGAGATGGAGGCGCGCCCATGAAGAAAGGGGTACCTGACTGGTGCACCAGCAGGCATTGAAGCCAGGGCGCTCGATCGAGACCGGAGTGGTTCCGATGCACGACAGATCGATCGGGCTGCTGGGGCCACTCCCCTTCGTCGATGTCCATCCGCCTGCCCACACCGACCCACACAACACAGGCCAGGGCTGGCGCGCCCGCGACCCGGCCAACACCCCCACCACCAGCCGCAGTCCGAGCGACGAGGGATGGATCGGTAGGGCCGCCACTCTTGGTCAGCTCGGGGGGCGGGAGGCCGGCGTCAGCGCAACACAGACCTTCCCGCACCCCGTTGGGTTCGTCGTTCCCGAGACCGTTCCCCAAACGGGCTGGCTGGGCCCCTTCAGGCGCATGAGTGCGGCCATCGATCGACCCGTCTGGGGCCAGACGCTCGCGACTGATCGTCGCACCAGCAGGTGTAAAGGCGGGAACAAGCGTAGCCGCACCCACGGAGCAACCAGGCTTCGCGGTCTGGCGACGCCGTAGGCCCAAGCGCAACGTCCAGGGCCCCTTCAGGCGTTTGAGCGTGGCCATCGATCGCTCATCCAGGGTCGGACCTTCGCGAATAACCGTCGCACCAGCAAGTGGAGGGGGGAGCAAGCGTAGCCGCACCCACAGAGCGACCTAGGAGAGTCGCTCGGTGGTCTGGCGACGCCGCGTGCCCGAGCGCAACGTCCAGGGTAATCCGAGCCGCCTCTTGTTCCACCAGGCTTGGGGCGTGGGGGCGGACATCACTGTCATCCTCTCGAGTGTCAGCGAGATTCCCTCTGCAGAGCCCCAGCTCCGCAGCACTCCTGTCCGCGAGCGGCGCCATGACACGCGGCCCCCAGGTCGCCTCCAAGAGCACGATGGTCCTCCCCAGGGGGAAGTGCGGCGTTGCTCTCACTCCGGGTCGGCGTAACGGGCCCAGGTTCAGGTCACAACCAGTCTCTCCACCAGCAGCTTTACCGACAGCGTCTGTCGGTGCACTCACGCTAACAGGACCTGTGGGGGCGTTCCTGCGCCCAGGTCGACTCGGCCAGCGCGGCGTCCGTGCCAGGATCCCTCGGTGAGCCAACGTTCGCACGTTCCAAAGCGATGCGGACGGCACCCAAGTCGGACTGCGGCGCTGGCGCCTCGGAATGACCCGGGGTGGACACTCCGAGGGCGGGCACCGCAATCGACGCTTGTGGGCCAAGACTCGCAGGCCCTGAGCGCACGTCACCCGCCCCTTCAAGGCTCAGACCAGTCACGCGACTAACCGTCGCACAAGCAGGTGGATATGGGGTATGGGGGAACCCAGAAGTACCGATACCGCTGCTCCCTGGACCTCTGGACCTCTCGCGGGGTGCGTTTTGACCCGGATTTCGAGGCGAATCCAGCGGTGGCGACGAGAGCCACCCGGGAAGTCGAAAGGGGGGGAAAACGAAAACGAGGGAAGGGTAGCAGCATGGGTGGGTGCCTTTTCCCTCCTCTGAGGATAGGCGGCCTCCCGTGCCGCTGGTTCCCGGCAACGACCTCGGACAGTCGGGCCGGGCGAAAGGCGGGGATAGCAAAGGAGGGGTTTGAGAATCAGCTCGCGTAGCTGATTTTCCTGGCGCCACCCGGCGCCAGAGGCGGCATGTATCGAGGAATGGGCCCCTCGGTGGGGCCGAAACCAGCTGCATGCAGCAGATTTCGTAACCCCCCCTTTCCCTATCCCCCCCTTTCGTCCGGCCCGGGACAGCCGTTCTGGGTCCGAGCGGCAGCGGAGGGCAGGCCCGGACCTTGGAAAAGGGGGGAACAGGGCGAGGCCGGGCGCCGCGCGTGCCGACCAGGAGCCCAAGGCGGAGCCGGCCGCGGCGACGGGAGCCCCCCGAGCCGCACTGGACGGCGCCCCGCCACCTGGATGACGATGATGAAGATGATGAAAAGGATCCGGATGATGATGATGATGATGATGATGATGATGATGATGATGATGATGATGATGGTGATGATGATGATGGTGATGATGATGATGGTGATGATGATGCTGATGCTGATGCTGATGATGATGGTGATGATGATGGTGATGGTGATGCTGATGATGATAGTGATGATGATGGTGATGATGAGGATGATGATGAGGAGGAAGAGGAGGAGGATCCACGCGTGTAAAGGGTGAAGGCCTCCCCGCTCGTACTGCCCCTCGGACCGAGGCGTTTCCCTTTGGCCCTGCGGCGGCAACGTTCGGTCTCGTGCGCCTCGGCGCACCCTCGCAGATTCACCTGAGTGCCTAGAACGAAAACCGCCTCAGCAAAGCAAGCGATCGACCGATCCCAGGCGTCAGGCCTCGGCTGACGGTCCAGCGAGCTGGAACGCAGCAGGGCTGCACGCCGCACCGGAAGAGCAACGGTGTCCTTGGCACCAGGCCCACAAACACACGACGTTGTTGCTCCTCAGGCCTGCGGAGATCGATCCTGAGCGTGGGTCGCCCTACGCTCACGGCTCGCCCTCCACACCAGAGACTCCGACGGGAGGGCGGATGCCGTGCACGGCGCACAGAAAGCCGCGTCCGCCAAACGACAGCGAACCCAAGAGGGGCAGGAGGGAGTGAACCCTGTCGTGTGCCGAACCCCAGGTGGGTACAGTCAACCCGTACAGTAAGGATGCGCGATAAGGATGCAAGGGCCTCGGAGGGCCATTTCAATGCTTTTCGAGCGGGGCGCGGCCAGCGAAAGTGGCGAAGGATGGACCGAGGAGGCAAGGATGCAAGGGTACCCTTGGGAAGGTTGCCCATCCTTACTACGCGGGTTGACTGTACGGCCAACGCCTCGGGGCCCCCTCCACTCTCGGATGCACACCAGGAGGGCGCCGCGCTCGCTGGACGAGGGGCCCCGCGACGCGGGGCGCCAGCACGGGCGACAGCGACCCCGCGATGGCTGGGAGGGAGAGAGCACGAGCGTGCGCCGAGCGCCGCAGGGTACCGCCTGCGCCACGGGTTCCCTCCACCCAGAAGGGCGACTGAGCTGCCGTCGCCCGCGCCAGACAGGCAACACCACCTGTGGGCACCGAGCCACAGGACGGCGGACGGTTGCTCCTCTGGCCTGCGGTGTCCGATCCAGAGCGTCGGTTGCCCTGCGGTCACGATTCGCGCTCCACCATCTGCCCGTAGGAACTGACAGGGCTGCGAAAGCGCCGTCGTGCGCACGCGCGCCAGCGCTGCTGCACTTAAACAAGGCTGCAAGCAGGCTGAGGCCAGCTCCAGCAGCGAAAGGCCGCGAGCAGGCGTAGCCAGATCCAGCAGCAACGGGCGCTGCAAGCAGGCGAATGCCAGCTCTAGCAGCAACGGGCTGCAAGCAGGCGGAGGCCACACTAGCAGCGAAGTGTGACGGAATGCGGAAGTGCGTCAGGTATCACCTCCGCCTGCGGGCCTGGCAGGCACCCGTAGCCTGGAGGCTAAGGCTGCCCTCGGGGCCGCCATGCCCACATCGACCTGGGCCCTGCGGACGAGGGAGGACGGACGACGGACGACGACGACGACGACGACGACGACGACGACGACGACGACGGACGACGACGACGACGACGACGACCACGACAAGGACGGACGACGACGATGATGACGACGACGACGACGACGACGACGACGACGACGACGACAAGAACGACAAGAACGACGACGACGACGACGACGACGACGACGACGACGACGACGACGACGGACGACCGACCACGGACGACGGACGAAGGACGACGGACGACGGACGACGGACGACGACGACGACGACGACGACGACGACGACGACGACGACGACGACGACGACGACGACGACCGCGACGGACGGACGGACGACGGACGACGGACGACAGCCGCGACCGCGGAAGACGGCGACCGCGTGCGCGGCCTCTTCGCGGACGCCTGCACCACCCCGCCAGCCTGCGGGTCCGACGCCGTGGTCGCCGCTGCGGAGAGCGCTCGGGGGGGGCTTTTCTTCGTCATGCTCCTCCTTGATCTGCGGCCACCTCCTCCTCATCCTCCTCCTCCTCCTACCCCTCCTGCCCATCCTACCCCTCCTACCCCTAACCCTCCTACTCCTCCTCCTCCTCCTCTTCCTCCTCCTCCTCCTCCTCGTTCATCCGTCTCCTCCTCCTCCTCCTCATCATCATCATTAGCATCATCATCAGCAGCATCATCAGCAGCATCATCATCCTCTTCCTTCGCCTTTCCTCCTGCTTCTCTGGAGGCCGACCTTCCCTCGCTCCAGACGGGTTCGGGGCGATGGCCCCCACTCCTATGATGCGAAAGTGGTGTTCCACAAGTGAGCAGGACGACGACGCCGACGACGACGACGACGACGCTGACGCTGACGACGACGACGACGACGACGACGACGACGACGCCGACGACGACGACGACGACGACGACGACGACGACGACGACGACGACGACGACGACGACGACTACTACTACTACTACTACTACTACTGACGACGACGACGACGACGGACGACGACGACGACGACCAAAACGACGACGAGGATGACGCTGACAACGACGACGACGACGACGACAACGCTGACGCGGCTGACGACGACGATGACGACGACGACGACGACGACGACGACGATAACGTCGATGGCGACGGCGACGGCGACGGCCACGATGTCAACGGCGACGACGACGACGGCGGCGACGGCGGCGGCGGTGGAAGCGCCACGGGAAGCGTCGGTTGGAAACAACACGCAAAGGTTTTTGTAATGTAGGATGCAGGAAGCACTCTGTGATTTCACATGCGAAGTTGTGATTTGAAGCTCCTGAATGCAATGTCCAATACGTACTATGAGCATGCTGTTGCACATGAAGCAGTTTACCTGGTACTCTCCAAATGGCCTCATCTTGGAACTGCAAGTTTTGAGTATAAGTGACACGGAAGAGCACGTGTTCACTGCAACATCTTTTGCGTCAGCACTGAATTCTGGGTGGCCAAACTGGGCCAACCGGGATTCAGCGCGGACCAACTGGACCGCCCAAGTTCGCTGCCCCCCCCGAAAGAAAAAACATAAACAACAAATGAAAGCACTGGATCTCGTGAAACCTATGGACAAAAAACAAGCCACCGTGCCTCTAGCACGACGTGGACTGCTCCCAGGCTCTCTGCTGTGCTGCTGCTGGTGTAGCCAAGATTGCAAATTCTCAGGGGCCCCGACCACCAATTTCCCAGGCCGTCCTCGGGTAGGCCCAGGAGGGCCTGGGTCGCTCGCGTGAGTTCTGAGGTGTTTACGACGCGGTCCTGTGGACGCTGCCCCTGCCCAAATAGGCCCAACAGAGTTCCGAGTAGCCCCCCGGAATGTCCAGGAGACATGAGACACGGCCCCAGACGCCCCCAAGAGGCTTCCAAGACGCCCCAAGAGGCGTCCAAGAGGCCTCCCCCCTCCCAACAGAGCCCCAACAGGCACAATTCATTGATTGTCCTTCGATTAATGCAGGACTTACGCATTCTCGCCTGGTCGGCTCCCCGACGCTCCAAGCAACCGTAGAGGCAAGATCGCCCCAAAACAGCCCAAGATCCCCCAAAGCAACCCAAGATCGCCCCAAAACAACCCAAAAAACAACCCAATAGGGCCCCAAGACGCTCCAAAAGGTCCCCGAGAAGCCCGATGAAAGCCCCAAGAGGCCCCCAAGAGGCCCCCAAGAGGCTCCCAAGAGGCATCCAGGAGGCCCCAAGAGGCCACCAAGAGGCTCCCAAAAGACCCCCAAGAGGCTCCCAAACCAAAAACCAAATAGCCCCAACATTTCCCCCCCAGAAGCCCCCCCGAGAGCGCTCCGAAGAGACCCAGGAAACATCCCTGAGGACCCCAATCCACAACTCAGGCACGGGGGTGCCGAAGGTCATTCGATAACTTCATGCCTGAAATCATATGGTTTAGGGATGCGGGTTCTGAAAAGCATATGTTTTCAAACATGAAACTGTGTCTGGGAGCTCTGAACTTCACCTTCCTTTTATGAAAGTGCCTCCAGGTTAGGCGATATAGGATGCAGAACATTTGAGTATTGTACATGCGAATTTGTTTGTTGGAGCTTTCAACTTCTCATTTTCAAGCACAAGGTTCTGAAGCAAGGGAAGCGGAGAGCAGCGTTTTTCAATTCGTCGCCATGGCACGAAACCCTGCGCTCCCATTGAGGGAGTTGCCTGTTTGTGACAGGGTGGGGAGCCAGGAGGGAGTAAGGAAAGAGAAGGGAGGAGAAAGGAGGGCGGAGGGAGGAGGGAAGAGGAAGGAGGAAGGATGGTAGGAGGGGAAGGAAGGAGGGGGGAGGAGGGAGGAGGGAGGAGGGAGGAGGGAGGAGGGGGGAGGAAGGGGAGGAGGAGGGAGGAGGAGGAGAGGAGGGAGGAGGAGGAGGAGGAGAGGAGGAGGAAGGAGGAGGAGGAGGAAGGAAGGGGAGGAGGGCCAGGAGAGGAGAGGAGGAGGAGGAGAGGAGGAGGAGCGAGGAGGGAGGAGGAAGGAGGGGGGAGGGAGAGGGAGGAGGGGGGAGGGAGGAGGAAGGAGGGAGGAGGGGGGAGTGAGGAGGGAGGAGGAGGAGGAGGAGGAGGAGGAGAGGGGAGGAGGGGGGGAAGGAGGGGGAAGGAGGGGAAGGAGGAGGAGGAGGAGGAGGAGGAGGACAAGGAGACAAGGAGGTGGAGGAGGGAGGAGGAGGAGGAGGGATGAGGGAGGAGGGAGAGGAGGAGGAGAGGAGGAGGAGGAGGAGGAGGAGGAGAGGGAGGGAGGAGGGAGGAAGGGGGAGGAGGGAGGAGGGGGAGGGGAGGGAGGAGGGAGGGAGGAGGGGAGGAGGAGAGGAGGAGGAGGAGGAGGAGGGCGGAGGGGGGAGGAGGGGGAGGGAGGGACGAGGGAGGAGGAGGAGGGAGGGAGGGGGGACGAGGAGGAGGAGGAGGAGGAGGAGGAGGAGGAGAAGGAGGAGGGCGAGGAGCAGCAGGAGGAGAAGGAAGCAGCGGGAGGGACGGAGGGACGGAGGGGCGGGCACGGGCCGCTGCGCCTCCTGCAGGGGCAGAGCCCGAGAGGCCCACCTCCAAAAAGAAAGGAGCACCGGGGCGGAAGGGAGGGGCGAGGGAGGTAGCGAGGGAGGGGCGACGGAGGGGCGAAAGAGGGGCGAGGGAACGAGGGAGGGGCGAGGGATCGGAGGAGGGAGCGAGGGAGGGGCGAGGGAGGGAAGGGAGGGAAGGGCGAAGGAGGAGGCGAGGGGCGGAGGCTCCGCCGATCTCTCGGCCCCGCCGACCGAGCCTGCCTGCCTCTCTCGGGGGCGGCGAGGGAGGCGGCGGGCGGCGGGGGGGTCCTTCGGCAGGGGCACCTCGGAGACACCCCCGTGCGGGCGCGGCTGGGCGGGCAGGTCGCCATGGGGGAACGGGGTCCTCGGGGACAACGATCCTGAGAGTGTTCGCCGTTCTGGGCTTCCCGGGGCCCTCCACGGCCAGGGTCCAGGATCCGATCCCCTCAGGGCCCGCTTCCTGAATGCCAAGCAGGGAGAGGCGGGCGGGTCGCCCTGAGAGCCGACCGGCCTTAGGCCGAGAGGAGAGGGGTGGCCCCAGACACGCTCGCGTCCAGGACGGAGGTTATTCGTCAGTTTCGGTTCCAGGGTAAGACGAAGCAAAGACGAAGGTAAATTCGGGCGAGGAGGATAAATCAAAAACCTCTGAAAGCCGGCGGTTATGGAAGATGCTTCGGGCGCCGCGGCGTTCTCAGAGCGTTCCGGAACGCTCTGAGAGCGTCCGGGAGCTCTTGAGAGGATTTGATCCTCGTCCTAGCCCCCTCCGACTGGGGGCGCCCCCTGGGCCCCGGCGTCAAAAGTCGACTCGAGATGAAAAACCAGTCCTGGGGATAGGATCGGAACTTCAAGGGGAGCGCGCGTCGAAAAATCCGCCGACCCTGTCGGCGTGTGTGAGGGGCTTTTCCGTTCGAGCCGTCATCTCCGTCATTCTTTGTAATCGTCGTCTCTGTCGTTCCCTTTCCCTGGTACCCCTCTTCCCCTGGGCTCCTCCCCGCTCCCCTCGCCCTTTCCCGGGGCCTCCTCCTCAAGCGCGCTAGCCAAACCGACCTTCAGCAACGTCGTAATTGATTCGAAGGGAAGCCCCTTCCCTTTCCCTTCCCCGACGGGGGGGGGAGGGGGGGTCCCGGGGGGGGTCCCGGGGGAGTCCCGGGTCAGATACGACGGCCCCCCCGTACCGACCTTGAGCAACGTCGTAATTGAGTCGAAGGGAAGCCCCTTCCCTTTCCCTTCCCCGACGGGGGGGGGAGGGGGGGTCCCGGGGGAGTCCCGGGTCAGATACGACGCCCCCCCCCCGTACCGACCTTGAGCAACGTCGTAATTGAGTCGAAGGGAAGCCCCTTCCCTTTCCCTTCCCCGACGGGGGGGGGGAGGGGGTCCCGGGGGGGGTCCCGGGGAGTCCCGGTCAGATACGACGGCCCCCCCGTACCGACCTTGAGCAACGTCGCAATTGAGTCCAAGGGAGCCCCTTCCCTTTCCCTCCCCCGACGGGGGGGGGAGGGGGGGTCCCGGGGGGGGTCCCGGGGGAGTCCCGGGTCAGATACGACGCCCCCCCCCCGTACCGACCTTGAGCAACGTCGTAATTGAGTCGAAGGGAAGCCCCTTCCCTTTCCCTTCCCCGACGGGGGGGGAGGGGGGGTCCCGGGGGGGGTCCCGGGGGAGTCCCGGGGAAGTCCCGGGTCAGATACGACACCTCCCTCCCTCACCTTCTCGTCCTTCTCCCCGTTCCCCAAAACCATCCCACAGCCCGTGCCTCTTGCTGCGCATTGCGAACAGGGTCGGCGGCACCGGCCGCAAGGCCTTCGCAATCGGGACGTCCCGTGTCTGGGGTGGGGTCCGAGGCCGCGCAGGCCGTCCTTCCCAGAAATTATACCAAACCTCTGGGCGCAGGTAGTCTAACGATGCCTTTCCTCTTCGAGAACTCGTCTTCCCCTTCGGAGAGGGCTTCATCACTGTCCCTGATGAATCTGCATCCCCTTCCCCAGGCGACCAGCGTCCAACCAGGAACCTTGAGGACACCATGGCTACCCGCCTACTACCATCCCTGTCAACAAAAATACACACCGCACTTTGCCTCCACATTTGGAGCATGCGCGGCCAATCCGATGTGGTCCCCCCCACCATCCCTAACAAAAACAATACAAAGTACACTTCGGGGCAAAGTCTTGAAGCATGTTCGTGAGGCCCACGGGCACTTTGTATGGTCTTTGACACGGACGGCGGGAGTGTCAGCGTGTTCCCTGCCGCGCGCAGGGCTGCCATCCCTGACAACAAAAAATGCACCTCTAAGTCTGGATCATGCGCGGCCATCCTGCGATCACTGTCACATGATTTTTGACAAGGACCGCGGGGGTGGTGGCGCGTTGCGTGCTGTGCGCAGGCCCACCAGACACAACGATCGGCATTGGTTTTCGACAAGGATGGTGGGGGCCGACATGTTTCCCGATGTGTGCTGTCACGTGCGCAAGCGCACCTGACGCACTCTCCACGTGCCCCGAACGTGGCGCAGCCGGCGTGGCTGGAGTGTGCGGCACACCTGGCGCACTCGGAGCACGTGGCGCATCTGGCGCACTAGGCGTGCCTGGCACGCTCGGGCGCAAGGGGTGCCTGGCGCGCGTGGCGCCCCTGGCACGCGTGGCGCATCTCGCCCCAGCGTCGCGCACCTGGGGTCGGCCCTAGTTCCCTGTAGCTGCCCATCCAAGGACGATAGTTGAACATGCTCAGGTTCGGGTGTTATTTTTGTGCTGGGGTGAGTGAACTAGACGGTTTGCGGGCGGGTGGATAGCTTGATCACTGTTCCCTATTAGTATACACCCCCCCAGGCGACTGGGAGCCAACCCGCGCCAATGAGGGCCCCCCCACCATCCCTTTGTAAAAAAAACGTACAAAACACACCCTGCCCCCAAATTCGGAGCATGCGCAGCGAACCCGATGCGGCCCACCCCCACCATCCCTCAAAAAATAATACAGAATCCGCCGACCCTGTCGGCGTGTGTGAGGGGTTTCTCCGTTCGACTCGTCGTCTCCGTCGTCTCCGCTCGCGCTATCCAAAGCGAAATTAAACGACGTCGTAGTGGAGTCGAAGGGAAGGCCCTTCCCTTTGATCCCTTCCCCGCAGGGGGGGGGGGGAAAGGGGGGGGGGGGGGGGCGGGGCAGATACGACGCCCGCCGGGGCGCACTTTCCTCGAGCGGGCACGCACGGGATGCACTTCCTCCTCCTCCTGTCCTCCTCCTTTTCGTTTTCCTCCTTCCTCCTCCTCCTCCTCCTGGTCCTCCTCCTCCTCCTTTTCCTCCTCCTCCTCCTCCTCCTCCTCCTCCTCCTCCTCCTCCTCCTGCTCCTCTCCTCCTTCTCCTCCTCCTCCTCCTCCTCCTCCTCCTCCTCCTCCTCCTCCCGCAGAGGCGTCCCGGGAGCGGGCCCCGAGTCAAAATACCACCCCCCTAGGGCGCATTTTCCTCGAGCGGGCACGCCCGAGATGCACTTCTTCCTCTTCCGGGAGCACGTCCCAAGTCAGAATATCACACTCCCGGGGCGCACTTTCTTCGAGCGGGCACACAAAGGATGCACTTCCTCCTCCTCCTCCTCCTCTCCTCCTCCTCCTCCTCCTCCTCCTCCTCCTCCTCTCCTCCCTCCTCCTCCTCCTCTCCTCCTCCTCCTCCTCCTCCTCCTCCTCCTCCCCTCCTCCTCCTCCTCCTCCTCCTCCTCCTCCCCTCCCTCCTTCCTCCTAACCTTTCGATCAGGTCCGCCGGCCTCTCCAATGCACTTGGCGGCGGCGGCGGCGGCTGCGGCGCTGCGGCGGGGGCAGCGGCTGCGGCGGCTGCGTCGGTGGCGGCGGCGGTGGCGGCGGCGGCGGTGGCGGCGGCGGCGGCGGCAGCGGTGGCGGCAGCGGCTGCGGTGGCAGCGGCTGCGGCGGCGGCGGTTCGGCAGAGGGGGCGGCGGCGGCGGCGGGCGGCGCGGTGGGGGCGGCGGGCGGCGGACAGCGGCGGCGGCGGCGGCGGCGGCGGCGCGGCGGCGGCGGCGGGCGGCGGCGGCGGGGGCGGCGGCGGCGGCGGCGGATTCGCCCCCAGTAGCTGCCCATCCAAAGACGACTGCTGAATATGCTGCGGCTCGGGCCAGGCTCGGGTGCTGCGAATGTGTTGGGAGGGCGGGTGGGAGTGAGCGAGACGGCTTGCGGGCGGGGGGGGTCGCGCCCTACCCCGCCCCCTACCCCGCCCCTGGACCTGGACGGGGTTCGCGAGCGTCCAAGATAGCCTGAGATGGCTCCAAGTGGGCCTCAAAGAGCCCAAGATAGCCTCCACGATCGCTCAAGATAGCCCAACATGGCTCAAGATAGCTAACAACATGCCTCCAAGAGGCCCCAAGAGGGCTACAAGACATATCCAGGTGCTTTTGGCAACCCCTCAGGACCTCCCCGAGAAGCCAAAATCCTTCAAAAACCTTGGGAATTTCACTGATAGTTGCCTTCTCGCCTTTTCGCTTCCAATGCGCTTTTGAGGCCTCAAGGTGGCCCCAATAGGCCCAAGATAGCTCCAAGAAGGGCCCAAGAGGCCCCCAAGACTGCCCCAAGAGCGCCCAAGATCGCCCCAAGAGGGCCCCAAAAGCGCCCCAAGAAGCTATGTCGATGACCCCGGAGGGGGGAGGGAAATCTAGGACCCCGGAGGGGGGGGGGGAATCTAGGATCCCCCTCTTCTTCAATATTTGGTCTCCAAGATGGCCCCAGGAGGCGTTACGTAGCTCCCAAGAGGGCCCCATGACGGCCCCAAGGCGCCCCACAGAGCCCCAAGAGGACCCCAATACCCCCCAAAGGGCCCCAAGAGGGCCCAAAAGAGCTCCAAGAGGACCCCTATATCCCCTCATACAGCCGTAGCTACAAGAAGGCCTCCGATGCTCCAATATAGCCTCCAAGATGGCTCAACACCCTGCTTCCTCTACTCTCCTTGCACACTCTGTTCCACTACATGTGTCTCTTCGTCCCTGTTTCCCGTCAGCTCTCGTGGGCAGGGCTTCTGAATGGGCTGGTGGGGATTCATGCAGCGTGAACAATTGTATTTACGCCCCGTCCTTGACAGGCTGGGCAAGGAAAGACAGGACACTCGCAGCTACCAGCCAGGATCGTCCTCTCGAGGGGAGATGAGGAGAAAGGCCAGAGCGGAAAGGGTTTTTCCTCCACCCAGCAGAGGTCTGGTCACTGGGGCCAGATTGAAACGGACCCAAAACAGGCGGGGAGAAACTGGAGCCTTGCCAGTTCCGTACAGCTGCCCCAAGAGAGGCCAAAGAGCAAAAATCCAGGGGGAAGGGGGGAGGAATAGGAGGAGGAGGAGGAGGAGGAAGAGGAGGAGGTGGACTGGTGCAAACCCTAGATGGGTCAACGGTGTTACAAAAACCCTCCCTCCAAATTCCCTCTCGTCATAGGTCCTTCCATGAGCTTGTATTGCGGCAAATGCCTCATCCGAAGAAAAACCGTGTGATAATCCTAAACCGTGCAGAAACACCATTACTGGGACTTGAACGCCGCGGATCAACGCAACGGCTGCGTCCTGGCACGCCTAGATCGTGCCAGAAAACCATTCAAGGAACCGTAACACCGCGAATAAACGTGACAATTGCGTCCCGGCACTTCTAAATCGTAACAGACCGCCGTTCCCGAAACTTCCACCAGACAAGGATGTAAGCCGAATGCGCGAATGCGAGAGCCACAGTATCAAATGGAACAGCCCTCCATCCTTGAAATAGCTGCACGCTGTTAAAACAAGTATGCGCAGCGCGAAAGCGACAGCCACATTTTGAAAACGGCCCGCCCTCCATCCTTGAAACTCGCTTCAGACGAATGTGCGCGACGCTGAAGCGAGATCCACAGTTTGAAAACAACGCGACCTCCACCCGAATATTGTAAGCGCTGCAAGCTTTTAAAACGAATACGCGCGGCGCAAAAAAAACAGCCCCCACTCAATCCGTGAATCTGCTGCAAGCTGTGAAGACGAATGCGCGTGCCCGTAAAGCGAGAGCCACGTTTCGAAAACGACCCGCCCTCCATTCGTAAAATTGTTGTTGCAAACTTTGAATATGAGTGTGTGCGGCGCTGAAGCGAAAACCACATTCTGGAAAGAGCCCGCCTTCCACTCGTGAAACTGCTGCAAACTTCAAGCTTCAGAATTATAAACGGTAAGGGATTATCTGGCGAACCGCCCTGCCCGCCCTACCGACACGTCTGGGGGTGCGAGAGGAAGGAGTAAATCATATAAGCAACGAAAGGTGTAGGACAAGGAGGAAGGGAGGGAGGAACAAAGGGGAAGAGGAGGAGAAGGAGAAGGGCAAGACGGGTGAGGAGGAGGGGAAATCTGAGGAGAGCAGGAGTAGAAAGGGAGGTGGTCTCCGGTGTTCGATCTAGGTTGGCCTAGGGGGGAGGGGGATGGAGGAGGACGAGGAGGACGTGAAGGAGAGGAGGGGGAGGAGGGAGGGAGGAAGGAAAGGAGGGCGGGAGAGAAGGTATCAGCATCATCATCAGCATCAGCAGCATCAGCATGATCATTATTAACATCATCATCAGCATCATTATCATCATCATCATCATCATCATCATCATCATCATCATCATCATCATCAGCATCAGCATCAGCATCAGCATCATCATCGTCATCATCAGCATCATCAGCATCAGCATCATCAGCATCAGCATCATCATTATAATCAGCAGCATCATCATTATCACCATTGCCGTCATCGTCATCGAATCATCATCATCAGCAGCATCATCATCATCGCCATCGTCACCACGATGGTCCTCACGACACCATCATCATCGTCATCATCAGCAACAGCAACATCAGCACCAGCATACGCAGCAGCAGAAGCATCATCACCATCGTCAGCATCGTCATCGTCAGCATCATCGTCATTTGCATCATCGTCGTCGTCAACATCATCGCAATCGTCATCAGCATTATCAGCAGCGCCTTCGTCGTCGTCACCATCATAATCATCAGCATCATCAACATCAGCATCAGCAACATCAGCATCAGCATCATCAGCACCATCAACATCAATCGCATCATCATCAGCATCAGCATCGTCGTCGTCAGTAGAACCACCACCGCCGTTACCATCATCATCTTCATTACCACCGCCACCACAACCAACGCCATCGTCACCATCACCACCATCATCATCATCAGCATCATCATCAGCAGCATCAGCATCACCATCATCATCGTCATCAGAATCATCAGCAGCAGCATCGTCATCATCATCATCAGGATCAGCATCATCAACAGCATCGTCAGCCACGACTTCAACATCATCAGCACCATCATCATCAGAATCATCGTCAGCAGCCTCAGCATCATCATCCGCATCAGCATTATCATCATCGCCATCCTCATGCTCATCATCGACCTCATCATCGACAGCACCGACATCGTCAGCATGATAGGCATCAGCGTACGCACCATCAGCATGATCGTCATCAGCAGCATCAGTATCATCATCAGCATCAGTATTATCAGCATCGCCATCGTCAGTTGTATCGTCGGTATCGGCATCGTCTTCAATATCATCATCACCAGCACCGTTCTCACATTATCCGCAACAACAACAGTATCAGCATTATCATGATGATGATCAGCAGCATCATCAGCATCAGTTTCATCAGCATCATCATCATCATCTTCAGCGTCATTGCCATCGCTGTCGTCATCGTCATCGCCGTCGTCATCGTCGTCCTCATCATCGCCGTCGTCAACCGTACCATGACAAACACCATCACCGTCGCCAGCGCCATCAGCATCAGCAGCATCATCAGCAGCAGCGGCCGCATGCCCAGTTTCAGTATACGAATAAGCATAAGCAAAAGCATAAGCATACGCATAAGCATGAACATCGACAGCATCACCATATGTGGCAAATAGTCATGATCACAGACATCACAACCACAACCACGATCGAAACCACCACCACCACCATCACCATCACCACAATCTCAATCATGATCAGTATCATCATCAGCGTCGTCAGTATCAGCAGCATAATCTGCATCATCAGCAGCATAATCAACAACGTCACCATTGTCATCACCATCACCATCAACAACAGCATCATCGGCATCGTCGTCGGCATCGTCATCGTCATCGACACCGACATCATCAACATCATCACTTGTGTTCGCATCAGCATCCAACTCCTATATCATACATTATCGTCATCATCGACCCTTCGGCATTGACCTTTCACCGATTATCAATATCCCTCACGCATGACAATCGCTCATCCTCGTCATCTCTGGCCGACTCAGTTCCGTCAACGTCAAGTCGGCAGCGGGGGCTCCAACGGGCGAGCAGGCCGCACACGGAAAGGCGCACCCGACAACGGCCGAACGGGGCCGCGCGAGCATTGCGCCAACCAAGGGCGGCACGACCTCAACCTTGGGCACCCCGTTCACCTTCGGGCACCCCGCGTACCTGCGCGGAGCGTCGATGGTGAACAAGGAGAAAGGAAGAGGAGGAGGAGGAGGAGGAGGAGGAGGAGGAGGAGGAGGAGGAGGGGGAGGAGGAGGAGGAGTAGGAGGAGGAGAAGCAGGGAGGAGGAGAGGAGGAGGAGGAGGAGGAGGAGGAGGAGGAGGAGGAGGAGGAGGAGGAGGAGGGGGGGAGAGGGAGGAGTAGGAGGGAGGAGACGACCCTTGCAGCCATCAGGTGTCAGGTCTCAGGAGAAGAAGGAGAGGAGGAGGAAGGGGAGAAGGAGGAGGAGGAGGAGCCTCCTTGGTCCTCATCGGGTGCATCATCATGTGGTACTTGATCGTGGGCCGTCTCCCTCGTCTCTCTCATTCCCTCTTGTGTCGTTCTCTATCCCCCCCTGGCGTTGGCCAGGTGGCGGGGGGATACGGAGGAGGAGGAGGAGCAGCAGGAGGAGGAGAGGTGGGGGGAGGGGGGCGAGGGATTCACCCTCCAGAGGAGGCAGGCCACAGGTCCCAGGGGCCCAGGAAGAGAAGCACCCAAGCAGACCCAAGGTGCATCAGCGAGACCGCAGTACACCCTCAGGCCTCTTCCTCCTCATCCTCCTCCTCCTCCTCAGTTTTCCTCTTCCTCCTCCTGTTCCACCTCCTCCTCCTCCACCTCCGCCTCCTCCTCCTCCTCCTCCTCCTCCTCCTCCCTCAAGCCATTTGGCCTGAGGTGAGTTGGCCCACAGGGGGCCTGGTTTTCTTGGGGACTCGGCCCACTTCAGAGCCAATCCCAGTACCTCCACGGGGTGCGTGAAGGATATCGGAGGCCTTCCTGGCCACAGATTCCGATAACGAAAGCTTGGAACATTTGCAATATTTCTTCAGTCATGGGCAAGGCACGTGCGGCAGCCCGCACTTCGAGGCCTTGGTCCAAGTGTGCATGTTGTCAGACATGTGAGTACAATGACCACGTGCTGCTGGCTGACTGCCGCTGCCGAGTTTGTACGAGGAAGGCTCACCTGTACAAGCCGCCCTCCCGCCCACCGAGCGTTGAGAGCAACAGGAGCGTCCGTTTCGCCACGGACCAGTCGGGAAGCGGCGGTGTTCGGCAGCAATTGCAGGCCAGCAACAAGCCCTAGCTCGAGGTCGCGTCGCTCCCGACGCAGGCGCTCCAGCAGTGCAAGGACCCCGAGCTGCACGTGGTACTCAAGGCCCAGAAGACGCGGCTGGAGGCACAGCGGGCGGCGGCGACGCCGTCCGACGTCGACCCAGTCAAGAAGGCCGACAGCGCCTTCAAGGCGGCCAAGAACCGACACGAGCAGTTGGTACAGCAGGTGGTGAGGCCCCAGAAACAGCTCACCACGGCGCAGGGCAAGGAGCAGGAGGCGGCCCTCGACCTCGCTCGTGCCGGCGCCGCGCGCCGCGCGGCCACGGCAGCCTTGGCGAGGGCGGGGGGCTTCCAGGAGCACAACGCTACGGGCGAGACGCCCGAGCCTGAGGTCTTCGGCATGAAGATCAACACGGACATTTTCGCGACCTTCGAGACCTGGGACTGCGAGGAGGCCGACAAGGCCAGCCTGCGCAAGCTCGAGGAAGAGCCGAAGTCGCACCAGAACACGTGCAAGCAGAGGAATGACGAATGGCAGCAGTTCGTCGACCGTGCCAAGAAGGCGCAGGAGGAGGTCAAGGAGCGCATGGCCAAGACGCGCAAGGCCCACGATGGGCAAGCGGCTGCTGCGGAGGCGGCTGGCGCAGCGGGCGCGGCCCAGGCGGCGGCAGCGGCGGAGGCCACCTCAGCGCCGTCAGGCGACGCGAACGCGGAGGCGGCGGCGAACGCCGAGGCGGAGGAGCAGCTCAAGAAGGACGCAGCCCGCTTCTCCCAGGCGAGCTTCGCCGCGGCCCAGGGCGCCACGCCCGAGGACAGACAGGCCGCGGCCACCAAGGGGAAGACCAAAGGCGACGGCACGCCTGGTGGTGGCACCCCTCGCGGCGCAAAGGCGGCGCGGTCTCTTGACTAGGGGCCTCGACTACCACTACGGCGGGCTGCTCACACGAGCAGCATCAGGGCGCCTGCAGTACCTCCAAAACTGTCGTGGTTTCTTCGGGCACTGCAAGCACGGCTTGCACTTCGCCAGCCTCGACATCGGGGGATGTCACCAGCACCGCAGCCTCCGAGGCCAACTCGGAGCCCACCATAGTTTTCTTCAGCAACGCCACCTGCTTGAGCGAGAAGGTGTTGGCACATCTTCACATGGTTCGTGAACGTTCCAGTTACTATGCATTCTGCGAGAGTCATGCACTTCCGCATCAGTCTCGCAGGTGGCAGATGCGGGCGAAGAATCACCCCATGGAGACTTCCGTCAACGCCGCACGAGGCAAGTCTCAGTGGAAGCGGCAACCGCGCGAGAATGCCAGTGAAGGTGGCGAGGCCTCTTCGACAAGAATCATTTGCCTGCGCAGATGCTCGACGTTGCCCTGGCAGCCCGCGGCCTGCGAGCGGGGGCCAATCCAGCTTTCGGCGGGTTTCTGCCACTCGTCTTGCATTTAAAAGGTCTCTCGTTTGCCATCATTGTGTTCTATGGCCACTCGCCCATCGGTATTCAATGACAGGAACGTGCCAAGGTGTCGTAAGTTAGCCAGCCTTCTCCATGTGATCTGAATTCCCTGGGCAGTTGTCGCTCGCTCGAACAGGGTTCCTCGAGCGCGTTGGAGGGCAGATTCTTTGTTGTTCGGCAGTGACACCTGTCGTAGTCAAGGGGTGCAAGGAGGTTCCCATCAAGATCACCTTGTCGCGCGTCCTGTCGCGCGTCATTATGCTCGCAGTGCCAGTGACATCAGCGATGCCCCTTGGAGGCCTCGCGCGGGGCTCGACATTGAGCTCGCAGGTTCTGCGGGGCAACTTTTCACGCGCATATCAGAGCCCCCCCCGAGGCCCCCCTAGGTGTCACGGCCTAAGCGGGGGCCCACAGTTGGCCCCAAGTCTCAGCAGAGTAAGGCTACACAGGCCCTTGCTCTCAAAGCGTCTCGCGAGAAGAGGAATCAGAAGATTCTGGAATGGTTTGGGAAGAGTCTCGACACCAGCCGGCTGCAGGGTGGGGAAGGCTGCCAGGCAGACCCAGGCGAGGACGGCTTCGCCTCGGACTCCGCCAGCTGCCGCCCCGACCGCGACTGGGGCGACATTTCCGAGGCCGACCCGTGGGCCGATGAGGCCAACTGGTCAGGGCAGCCCGCGCAAGGGGATCGGGTTGCCGCTTCTCTGGTTTTGCCTGTTTCTGCCGCCTCAGTCAGCGCCACAGAACCCCCCAACCCCTCGGCTACAATCGAATCTGAACTTTTAGCGATATGATAGCGAGCAGCCCGTGGACCCCCGCACCGAGTCTCGTGACCCACAGGCCCAGGAGATGTCGTCCAAGGCGGTGAGCTCCGAGCCCTCTGTGCCCTTCTGCGTGCCCGTCTCGACCTGGTTGACCGCGAAGAAAAAGATTGGGTTCTTTCCTATGAAGTCCTGTGAGCCGACACCCGTGGTTGCACAATCCGTGGAATTTCGGATCGGACCTTCAATCCAAGCTTCGACACACATGCCCGCTCTTTATTGTAGCTGGGTGAGCACAGTCGAGACAGCTGTGCGTTCTCAGCACCAGGTGACTGCACCTTCGGCGTCGAGAGGGCAAGCCGCTCAGTTTCGACTCGGCGGAATTCAATTGAGGAAGCCTCTGCGGGCCACTCACATTCGCGATCAGGCAGCAGGCTGGCGGGCGCGTTTGGCGACTGCAATTCGTGGACCGCAGCGCTTCCCCGGCAAGCCTCAAGGCCAGCGGCAGAAGCAGAGCTACGTTGCAACCGCCAAGGATTTGCGCCAGACCTACCCATCGGAAGCGCACCGAGTGGCGCGTCAGAAGGGCCCTTTCTCCTGGACCAAGTGGCAGAGCATACTGGCGGCGATCTGCGACGCGGTCATCAGCGACGGGCAGCCCCCCTCAGCAGTGGAGCTCGCAGATCGCGTGGCTCGGCGGGCCCAGCAACGTGAAGCTCATCCATCTATTCAGAGCTTTCGCGACTGGTCCGAGACCGCTCCTGCTGCCAGCGCGCTGCACCGCGCCCTGCGCGAGGCCCTCGCGCCTCAGGAGTGGGTCGACTCTGGAGAGGGCATTCTTCATCATCCTCGGGACGTTCTGGAGCACAACACTCACCAGCGGGGAACGCTCTGGGGGCCCGACGGGGCCTGCGACTGGCAGGCGGCCTAGGACAACCCCCTGCCAGCGATCGAAATCGATGAGCTCAAGCAAGCCCTCAGACAGATGAAGTCGTCAGCAGCCATGGGAGTCGACAAGTTGAACTGTCAGGACTTGGATCGACTTCCTAACCCAGCTCTGGCTGAACTGGCGGCGCTCAAAGGTCCATGTGAATATTATCAGGTATGGCCACGCCAAATCCTCGTCACCATTGGCACCCTTATTCCCAAGAAGGTGCAAGGGGATCGCGCGATTGGCCTGCTCTCGAACTTCGGCAGGACATGGTCCAAGGTGCGCGAGGGTCATGTTCGTTGCTGGACAGAGCGCTGCGAGGCGCACTGGGACGCAGCCATCAGAGGCAACGCTTCGGTCCGCGAAGTGTTCCTCAAGGCCATCGACGAGGAAGTAGCTTGCAGGCTCGGTGTATCACACGGGCATGGGCTGCTGGATATTGCAGTTTGATGACAGCGTGGGCTGGCATCACATCGGCACTGCTGCTCTACGACTTGGGCTTCCACCCAAGATCCTTGGCCTGGAACTTCAGCAGTGCATGGCCACGAGGTGCGTTCGGCAAGCAGGCGCCTTCGGCCCCCCGTTCAACCCCACACGTTCAATCATGCAGAGGCTCCGCGGGGGACGCGTTTCGGCAAATGCGCCGCACATTTCATCATCGCCAAGATCACTGCAGTCCATGTCAATACGTCGCACATATTGTGGGCTGATGATTTGAGCCAGTCAGAGAGAGGGTCTAGCAAATCCATGTGTCAACAGAAGTTCTTATGCCTCAATGACAACTTTCAAGGCATGAAAGATGCAGGGCTCAAGATCTCTCCCAAAAGTGTCACCATTTGTAGTAAGATGGAAGAGGCACGCACCATTTCTCGCAGGCTAGCGGCACGCGGGCACCAGATCAAAGCGGTCAGTCCGGCGGCCTACCTCGGGGCGGACCTCAGCGGGGGACGACGACACGGCAGAGCCACACGGACAGCACGCGCGGCCAAGCACGCCAAGATGTCGACCAAGATTGACAGCTACGCACGCACTTTCCGACGCTACCGCCTCACGGCTCGACTTGAACAACAAGCTGCTGCCCCAGCTGGACTCTACGGCCACCAACTGCACGGCGTCTTCGGGGCCCAACTGGCAGCGGCGCGCAGGCGGCAAGCGTCGGCAGCGGCCCCACGGCTTACTGGATGATGTGTTACGACTCTCCTCGACTTAGTCACGCCGAACAGCCCTGGCAGAGCCAGGAGGGCATGTGCACCGCTCCCGGGCCCAGGAGGCGCCAGGCCAGGGGCAGCGGAGACGCGTAGATCCCGCCGCCCCTCACGAGAGGGCCAGCGGCACAGCCACGAAGCCCACCAGCAGAGCTACACGAGCCGAGGGCCACGGGGAGAGCTGCCGCGGGCCACCACCTGGGCCACGCGAGGGGTCACGGCCGGGGCCACGCTAGCCTGACGGAGAGCTCCGACGTCATCATTTCCCGAGGAGCTCCGGCGTGGCGTCGTGACTTCTGCACGCCCTGGGGCTGCCCACAGAGGCCTGCGGACCCCGTCCCCCAGGCACCGGCGTCTCACCCCGAGCATCGCTCTCTCGACGCACG